TTTTCCTGATTATCATAGCTATTGTCAGCAAATGCTTTGCCATCACTAGTTAAAAAAAAATTCAAATTACAAAATTGCAGTAAATTATTCATCAAATTACTACTCTGACAGTTTTCTCTGATGACTTACTTTACCAACAAAGAAATTTAACTAAACATGTTTCCACAATGGTAAAAACTCAAGATTACGTAGGACCTTTTCCCTCTTCTTCAAATTGATGCTTTTAGGAGTGCTTGTAAATTTGGTAGTAATATTAAATTCACTAGATAAAATCCTTCTGTATAATCCTATCTAACATGAAAGAGTAAGAAAATTCCTTTACTTGAAATTATGAAAATTTTCCTTTCATGATGATTTGTATAAACCCTAAAAAACCTTTTCAAACTAGTAGAATATTATTTCCTTTAAAAATATATGTTGGTATGTATAATTTCCTCAATCTTATTCTATGAAAAGAGACCGCACAGAAAGGATGAAACAATGGTATGGAAACTTACCATCCTCTCCAAATGGACTCTTTATTACAGACTTATTGCTTCCATGTGTTTAAAAAAAAAAAAAAAAAAGGAAACCTTTAAGCCAATCCCAATCCCTAAAATTTTTGGCATTCATATTAAGCATTGAATCCAGAAAAAACATTTTTTATTATCATAGCCTATCAGAGTCAAAATTTATTTCATTATGAGAATGTGTTAGAAATTAAAAATAAAGGTTGGTTTCTATATGGCTTAAATAAAGTATTATTATTTAAAACTTAAAACTGTTAAAATATCACAAATTACTTGGTCTCAACATTTAAACAAATAATGCCTATTTTTAATAGTGTGTTCTAGAATATATAAATTCATTTGGAGAAATATTAAAATAGATGATATTAACACTTCTTTAGCACAATAAAGATTTTTTATTTACAGCTGTGGTTACATAAAGCTGAGAAATAGAAGCACCACATAAAATTAATTTATATACTTTTCTAAACATCGAAATATTTGCTCAAACTAAATATCGCAGTCAGTGAATTGTCTAAACTCTTGTCTTTGCACTTTTCCACAGATCAGGGTGCACAATGGGAATGCTTAACTCCCTAAAAGAAGCACATCTCCAAGTTTTGTGTGTTAAATGAAAAAGGAAAAAGTTCCCTCACCCCAAAATGAGAACAGATGGGAATGTAAAATTAGGTGGGAAGAGACAGTGAAGCTTTGGATGACCGACCAAAAAATCTCCCCTTGAGGGGAGCCAAATATACCAGACCTCAGCTTACTCTGCTCCCAGTTGACTTTCAAATTAAATCTAGTAGGAATGTAAAGTTCGAAGTTCGAAGATTCAATGTATTAGCTTTGATTTTTGTAAACATATATTTTATAAAGAAACTATTGATAAATATAAGTAAAATTTTTTATATTCAATATAAAGAAATCTAATCACTTGTGAGTTTAATATACCTTCAAACTTAGAATGTTAATAATACTTTTTTTAATAATAAAACAAATGGCTTTATGAAAAACAGGCAACAAGCTTGAAAAAACTTAAGATGTTGATACTGAGTTCCTTGTATTATGGAAATGACATCTGCCTTAAGTTGAAAAACTATGTAAATAAAATATAAATATATTTTCATTCTTTTCATATTTTATCTGTATAACTAAAAATAATCTTAATGGTAATACCAGCAATATTTCCTATACCTACCAAAAAAGCCCCTTTACTTGATATCCAATTTTATATAGCATGACAATTTTCTATCTAAAAATACCAACTACAACATTAAAAGAATACCCCCATATTGCTGCATTCTCCTCCAACTTTTAAATTTTTAATATGAGTAATAATTTAGAACATTAGAAAAACAAAAAAATCACGCTATCAGATTTTAATGCACTTAAAATAGTTTTATTAATAATAATCATTGTATTATATTTGTATAAATAATACTTTGGTAAAAAATTAACCATTAAAGTATAATTTTAAGAGCACCTTTCTAAGATTTGTCTTGAGCTTTTAAAGAGGTACCAAGTATCTTCCACAAAATATTATTTATTGATATTATTTTGTATTTGCTCATTTTCATGTGGAATTTACAAGTGCTGATACAAGGAGAATAATTTAGTCTTTTAAACAATAGTGCTCAAATTTATAGATCATTCTCATTCATAATTTCAAAATTCTTTTTCAAGACAACAGTTAAAAGTTCTCTGTGTACCTTTTCCCTGCCATCCCAGAAAATTGGCTTTCAATTTCTTAACCCTGTTTTACCTTTTTTAACCTAGCTAAGTATACACAGCAAAAAGAAATATAGAAATGACTCGTTCCAAGACAGGAAAGCAACTGCACCTCACACTTGAGTGATTTCCGTTTAAATACTAGGCACTAGTAATTTGACACAGGCTTCACTTTTCATAAGGCTTACAGCCTTCTATGAAGAAGATGCTCAATATAGTTCATTGTATTTAATTGAATATGTTTCATAAAATAATTACTGAAAATTAGATTTTTCTTATTCAGAATACACTAAATTATATGAAATAATTATTACCAAAAAAGAATAAAATCTCCCAAGGTATCTAGCTTCTTTTGTTTTCTCCTTTATCACTACATTAAAGCCAACAGGCAAACTTTTGAGGATACTATGTTGATTATATTATTAAAATTCATTTTCCATACTTCCCATTTGTGCAAGTAAAATCTGAATTAAACACTGTAAAATCATTTTCAAAATCATTTGCATATTAATAAATCAAATTCTAATTCCCCAAAATATCAAATGCAGATCCCCCTATCAATTTTACAATATTGTCTTAATTCATTTTCTTGTTATTTGGTTGAATGATTTTAAAAGAGAAAACAGAATATTTTATAATGAATCTAAAACTGCTATCTTCCCCTAGGAGGTGGGGACTTTGAATAAAGAATGAACATGCATTCACACAATATTTACTTAATATTCCTGTCCAAGTCCCAGAGTTTTCACTGTCCTTTTAAACCAGATAAATCACGAGCATTCTAGATGACAAACACTTAACTATAAAAGAAACATGGTTGACGTAGGTTGTCAGGATTTCTCTAACAACAGACACCTGAAGACCTCAGGGCATATTCTCAGAAGTATGAGAGTATTACAAAGTGTCTTGTTTTGTTTTGTCTTTATATTATGATATAAATATAATTATATTCTGGTCATTTCTTTCATAACTTTTAGCACCTATCAATATCACAATTTCAGGATCTGATTTTGATTCAGTGTTATTATCTAGTTGGTGCTAGCTTCTTATACTGTGTCTAATTCACAGTACAGTGTTCCTCAAACTGGAATTCATTCATGTATTCTTGGGGCCTCAGAAACATTTTTCTGTCAATACAAGTCCAAATATTCAAAACAAAGAAACACTAGATGAGATACTCTTCCTAATTCTAATTCCTTCCCAGTTTAAAAAATACATTTCATCCTACTGCAGCTTATTAATAATTTATGGAGATCAAATTTAAGTGCACAGAGAAAGGTAACTTCACAAGAGGAGTTTGTACAGGTTCTACTTGTTTTCCTTTTATACTCAAATGCAAATAAAATGTTTGAGCTAAGAAGAAGATGGCATTCAGATAACAAAACAAAAGGAGGCTGTCAGATAAAGATTCTATGAGCAACAATCACTATCATTTCAAATGGATTAGTGGACTACACATTAACTAGAAGTCAGAAAATCCCGGTTTCTTTTTTCCAGTTTTGTCTCTAACTTGAAATAACATCTTGGTGTTGAAATAATTCATCCCTGCGACCTTCATTTTTTACAAAGTTAGAACAGTATGTTACTATATTAGTAATATGTACAATAAATACCGGGTACTTGTGTTATATGAAAAGCAGTATGTTTCAAATTTTAATTTATATAATAAATGGGAAAACAACAAATCTATAAAAAACACTCAATTTTCTTTTCTTAAGTTTGTTAGTGACTATATATAACATGTAAAATAACAGTAAATTTTTTTTTCTGAATGCACTTATGAATTATTTTGATCTAGCTTTAAACTTTGTTTAAATTGGCTTCATCTAACTTAAAAATATTTAGTGTTGTCAATTAGAATTTAAAGATATTTCATTGGTAGAAATCATTATTTATTAGTTAAATGATTAAAAATAAAAGCTTATCATTTCCTATATATCACAATCTTAATTAGCAACCAAGTTATTAAACCACATATTCTTAAAGAAATTCTCAATTTGTATGTATTAACAACAAATTATCTTAACACCCATAAAGTAAAATGGTTGCAAACTGCAAAAATATTCTGAATTTAAAATCCATATATTTTACATTTAAAATATAATTATATAATTTTTAATTTTAAAAATGAGGAAAAATGAAACCCATTTAAACCATCTTATTCATATCTGTGATACAAATGGAAATAAAACTTTTAAATAAAAATTTTCCATATGGAGGTAGCTAGGAAGTTTCCCTGATATGCAGCATTTTAACTGAATATTTTAAAAACAGACATACATTTTTAAACCATTTCTAAAGGACTACCAATAACATAACAAAAATTACTAATTTAATAAATTAAATTATTGATTTTGAAATTATTTATTGAATTTACATTATTACATTTTGACAGGTGCATTTTTTGTTAGGTGAAGGCAGGAGAATCTAAAATAAATTTTATAACAACACATTTCATAATAAGCTTATGTTTTATCAAGAAAGAAATGTCACATTCAAATATAAAGTTTTGTTATCCCAGAAACATAAGCGACATTAGTTTATTAAACTCATTTGAAACATTCTTCTTCCTATAAAGAAATTTTCAGCTTTTATTATTTTAAGATTTCTTTTTTTAGATGATGTAATTAGACCATTACTAAAAAAGTGAGGTGGAGTCAAATGAAAAATGTGCACTTCCAAAAAGTGCATATTTTTATATATTGTGAAAAGTGATTTTTTCTTGAAATAGACATGTGCAACTGCATAAATATTAAAATGAATGCCAAGAAGTTACTGTACCTGAACTGTAGAGCTGATCTCTGATGCAAAGCCGCCCGTCAAGGGAGCTTCGTGACTGATTAGCAGTCGCCCTGTTTTGATCACAGACTGAAAAAGAAAAGGAAAATCTAATGTTGAACAGAATACATATTGTCAAGTATATGACTGCAGTTTTGATTAAGTAATAAAATGAATTATTTAATTTCAATAAATGATAAAAAATTAGTAATTCAATCCTATGTCTAATAAGTTACAGCACAACTATTTCAAGTAGACAGTCATTTGATTTTTACCGGGCTAAAAAATTTTATAATGCTACTATAAAATAGAGATTTTTAATTCTATGTATGTCATCAAAAGCGCACTTCATTATATAAAATATTCTTATTATAAAATGAATTACTGTATTTCACATATTCATATATCAATCTTTTTTATTTTTCAAATTACATTAATAAAAGTATTTTTAACACTTTTTGAGGTATATTTACATATAAACAAATAGTCTTAGGAAATACTGTTTTGGAGAGAAGAAAAACACAAAAATAGCATGTAAACTCTGTAGCAAAGTAAATGTTCATTGAGAGTTAGAAGGGAGAAATCAGTGCAAAAGTAAAAGGTTTACAACTCTCTTCAACCATGTGCATTAATATCTGCTTAAGAAACTCAATTCTATTTTAACATAGAAAATGTCACAAATAATAAAGAGTATTCTCAATACTGGCTCAGCCTGGTTGTTCACAGAGTATGCATGACATAATCTATGCAGTAATAAATCAAAACATATAACTATGACATCATAGCAGAATACAGCTTTGTTGAAAGGTAAAAAATATTAAAGTCAACAGCTGGTTATTACTTAAAATATGTTAAACAATTACCATATTACCAAAGAGAAGTGGTAATTCTTCCTCTACATGTCTAATAATGTATTACCTTCCTTAAATTCTACATTATTATTTTATAAATATGAAATAAAAGTCTCCCAAGCAAAAATATGCATATAAATCAACTTTTTTCCTACATTCTAGGAATTGGGAGTTTGAGAATTTTAAAAATATGCAGTAGTTTAAATGAGCAGATGTTAAACTCTAAGATATAGCCTGTAGCCACAACAAAAATAAATTACTATTATATCTACTAAGTAAATAGTGACTGAAGAACATAAAATTTTATGAATGTCATACCCAACCCCAATGAAATGCTGACTGTGAAATATTGATGTTTGAATTTTTAGAACTATGATTAATTTTGCTGTTTATGATGGTCACGATTAAATTTTTTCCATGAGTTTTTTTTTTCTTTTTTGCTCAATCCCTCCACCCCCGAACAACAGCCTCCCCACCAGAAATATCACAAATTAAACTTTAATACACCAGTTAGACATATAAAGAAACAAAAATATTACACAATTGCAAGAAAACAAATGTATTCTCAAAAAATTCTCCAAAAGATGTTCTGATCTAAAGAATTCTTAATTTTTAAAAAAGGATTTGTCATACTTTATAGATCAAAAGCCCAGACCACTGCCAATATAATAGTATCCTATCTAATAGAAGACTAATGTGCAAATTGACCATCACTCCAACACAGAAGATGGCCACCCCATGTGGACACAAGATGGCCATCACAAGATGGCTGATAGGGGAGGGCAGTTGTGGATGATTAGGCCACGAAGGGAGGGCAGTTAGGAGTGACCAGGCTGGCAGAGGAGGGAAGTTGGGGGCAACCAGCCCTGCAGGGGAGGACAGTTTGATGAAACCCAGGTCTGCAGGGGAAGGCAGTTAGTGGGGGCAGGGAGGGAGACTCAGGCCTGCAGGGGAGGACAGTTAGGGACAACTAGGCTGGCAGGGGAAGGCAGTTAGGGGCAACCAGGCTAGCAAGGGAGCAGTTAGGCATCAATCAGGCTAGCAGGGGAGTGGTTAGGGGATGATCAGGCAGACAGGGCAGGCAAGCAGTTGGGAGCCAGCAGTCCTGGATTGTGAATGGGATATCCGACTGCCCATTTGGCCCCGATCTGTTGGGGGATCCCAAATTGGATAGGGTGCAGGCTGGGCTGAAGGACACCGCCCCCCCCTCCACCTCCACGCACAAATTTCATGCACCGGGCCTCTAGTCTAAAGGAACAGCTAAAAAAATCCTCCTGAGTTAGGCAATGCATTTGAAATTTCTAAGAGGTAAGAATGAGAAACTTCCATAATACTGCTACTGTTACCTGAAAACTCCATACAACAGAACTGATACTCTGAATTGAAGCCTATCCAAGATCAAATGAATGCCAATAAGCAACCTAGTGTTCCTATAGCCTGCACAGTGTAGTTGGGAAACTAAGCTTTCAACCGTGGAGTTCATATAACATGATGTGCAAGCAGAGACCTTGAATATCTTTTCACAAAAAAGGGCTAAATAAAACAAGATATATCAATATAGTTAAGTATAACACAGACATGAAAAAGACTGAGGATATAAAATGATGCCCATACGTTTGACAAAATGAGCAAATTCCAGAACAATACAATCTCATTTTTGTGAAAAACAACCAGTGAAAAACAACAGTGGGGAAACAAAAACAAACAAAAACAGCCATGCATACACTGAGCCACAGGTGTCAATAGTCTGGAAGGTTTCATTCCAAACTATCAAAACTTATTTCTCCTGAAAAAATGACAGTAAAGGAATTAGAGGGAAGGGACTTTTGTTTTGTTTTTTTTTTACTTTATATAAAAGATATTTTTAATTACTAAAAGTATTTTTAGTAAATCTAAAATAAATAGTCTAAAATAAAAGTAATGTACTCGAATTAATGCTGAAAGTAACAAATACATTTTATAGTGCAGCCATAATTTCCTCAGAAAAACATATAATGTTTTTCTTGTTATTATAGGACTAGTTTAAGATACAGAGAACCCAAACTCCCACAGCAAATAAATATACTAAAAACACAGGGAATCAGCCTTGCCATGCCAGTATCTGTATGATCTGCTGCAGGTCAGGATCATATCCAGCTTATCTCTTGACCCACAAGCTCTTGGAAATAAGCTACTGGTATTAGAGAAAGTGAAGTTCTTTAACACATATGTGTGTGTTATGTAAAATGTGTGTTCTGAAGCAACAGTTATGTACTGACAGTTAAAGAAGTAATACCAGAAATTTCTTAAACATCAAGAGCTAGAAGATAGACACAATGAAAATTAATAATACTGTGAGTTTATGGAAACTGTCAGGTATACAAACCAGTGAGAGACTGTGGCAAGGAGACAGGAGTCAGAAATAACCATCATAATCATAAACTGATTATCATAGGAGTAGCTATATGCTAGGTTTTGAGTTCAGCACTTTACATAGGTCACTTCATTTAATTTGGAAAGTACCTAAGTTTTATTTTTGATTCTTAAAATCAACTCTGATATCTGAAAAGTATTAAAATATATAAAACAAATTACATCAAAATTCTGAAAAATGCCAAAATTTAGAAGTAACACTTATATTTCAAAGTCACACCCTAAAATATAATTAACATATATCATTAAAAGGTTGAGTCTATGAATACAGTTCAATGATTTTGTAAGGTATAATATAAATTCAACTTAGTATATGCTTTTTATCCTTCACAACCTTCATTTACTAAAATTTCTGAAGATGGCTCTTTTATTATTTTGGAAATCATGAAGGCTTGGGTGATATTATGATGAGATTTTACAAATCTACAAGTTTGAAGAGAGTGATAGTCTTCCTATTTTCTATGATTAAATAAGATATTTTTATTAAACTATGTATTTCTGTCAACTGTAATAAGCAATTAATTTTTATACCCTGAGACACAAATGATATATAACTGCTAGGAAATTTTATAGTCCAATTTAGCATTTTGGTGTACTTAGTTAAAAATTAATATTGTGCCTTTCAATGGAGGTGGCTGTTAAGTTTTTTAAAATAATAACTATAGATATAAATAGAAATAATACTTTAAAATTGATTTTACTAATTTTAAAGTTTCAAGTTTTCTTTTGAGATAAATATATATCACAACTTGAAAAAATTATAAAGGTTTAAACAACTTTTCAATATGAAAGCTGAACTTATCAAAGACACGAAGGATCACATAAGCCTGGATTTTCCAGTATCTGCTTCTTCAACTTCATGCCACTAAAACCTGCTCCAAGGACCCTGGCCTTAGGCAAACGGAGCACCAATAAGTTAGAAGGGACAGATGTACCGGGGAAACCTGTGCCAATAAAAGATTGGGCAAATAATTGTTCTTCACGTCTTCTGCCACAAAATAAAAGGTCTTTGTTCCTTACAGGACCTCAAGAAAAAGTGCCAAGAAAACTTTAAAAAAGCAATTCTAAAAGGAAGGCAGTGAAACAGACTGTGGGCTGCTAAGTCAGTCAGTACTGGTCTGTCCTGCATTTGTCCCAAGGAATTTCATTCTTTCTCACTATTTCAGTTAATCACTCCCTTCTCCAGGGCAACACAGAATACTATAACAAGAGGAGCTATCAAAATCTCGATTTCGCCAATAATAGACAGATCACAATACCTGTTCTGATAAAACCCTAAAAGATACCTTGGTTCCCAGTTGGGCCACGTCACGACTGTTTCCCAGTGTTCATCTTCTACCTAGATGCTATCACTAATAGCCATAACCTCAAGTTATCCAGGCAGGATATCTAGCACAATGCTCAAAATACGGTAGGCAGTAAAAAAAACTTAGTTAAAAATATCATAAAATAATTAAACTATATTAAGCAAGTTCTTGTTTAACTTACAAAACTATTGCTTTCTTGGCAAAATCCATTTTAAAATAGTGCAAAAGTATTGTTCAACACATGCCAGAACAATTTAAATAAGGACTCCAAATTGAGGATATTTTAATAGAGCTCTAACAATAAGATATCTGTGATAATAGCAGAGTTGCTAAGTTATACTCCATTAAAAAGATTGCACAGATTTTGGCTGTCCAAACATTGGACATGTGTTTTAGTTAATGTAGCCTTTAAAGATTTTAATATAATCCAACCAGGAATACTGTGAAACTGTCATTCCAGGAGAAAGTAAACAGACAGACAGACCATTAAGCCTGCATATGCCTGAAAGTGCAACAGTGA